TCCACTGGGTTGTGCAATAAAGGCACAACCTGTTCCTTTGCTGTCCTTAGAAGCGTCAGTATAGATTTTAACGTATTCTGGATAAGGATTCAACAGTTCTCTAAGGCAGTTTTCTTCGGTAGAGGGGATGTAGTTTGGTAAAATTAAGTTGTGTTTCTCGAGGGAAATGAAAAATTCTTGAGAATTCCGGGATGATTGGTATTTAGATAAATTATCAACCTCTATTCTGGAATTCCTAAATGCTTCACAAAGGGGGGGTGATTGTTTTTTCTGCCAATATTTATTGGTGAGGTCATGAGAGTTTAACGTGCTTATTTTTTTTATTATATGGTCTTGCTTTACTTCTGACTTGATAAGTTGTTTTTTTGACAATAATTGTCTCCTTAGCTGAAGAGGTGGTTCAAGGCATTCTACTCTGAGGGGTTCAATTGGAGTTGACCTCATTGCGCCCAAACAAAGTCTCAATGCACTGTTTTGTAGTGTATCCAATTTTTGTAAGGCTTTATGACTAGCAGAACCATACAAAGTGCATCCATAATCGATGATCGATCTGATGTATGAGCGATAGAATGTTAACGCTGTATCAGGATCTGCTCCCCACCACGTACGTCGAATCATCTTCAGGAAATTAATGCCTTTTTGACACTTCGTAACTATTTTGTCAATGAAAGGGTACCATGTTAGTTTATGATCAAGAACAACTCCAAGATACTCCACTGTTTCTGTTACTGGAAATCGAGAGCCCCTGATTTCTATATCACCTGTTGGAGGAATGTTGTGCCGTGAGAAGAATACTATGGATGATTTGTGTGGTGATAGGCTGAATCCCAATGTGTTCATTTGACTTGTTATAGAAGTTATAGCGCTTAATAGGGATTCTTTGCATGATTGGAATCCTTTTTTATCTAGGTAAACGACAAAGTCATCAGCATACTGTACGAGATTGTATGTTGGGTTAACTACGTGGATATCTCTAGTATATATGTTAAACAGGACTGGTGATAAAACTGATCCCTGAGGAAGGCCTACTGATACTTCTCTAGGGCCCAGAAGTGAGTTGGTTTTGGATCTGAGAAATATTGTTCTGTTTAGAAAGAGCTTTATGATAGTCCGACAAGTATTACTTGGAACCAGAATATCTTCTAACTTGTCTTTTAGCATGAACAGGTCGACGCAGTCATATGCTCCTTTGACGTCTAAAAATGCAGCTCCCAGGTATTCATTCCTTGAGAAGCAGTTTTGGATATCTGTAACTACATTCCCTACAGCATCTAAGGTACCATATCCTTTTTTGAAACCAAATTGTGACTTCGGGAATAAATTTCTTGCGTAGAGAAACCATTCTAGTCTGTACTTTATGATTCTTTCGAGAGTCTTAAGGATGCACGATAATAAGGATATTGGTCTGTATGATTCATGTAAATTTGGATCTTTGCCCAGTTTGAGCACGGCCACAACAATTATTTTTCGCCAGTCTTCAAAGTATCCGTTTTCTAACCATACCTCATTGTAAAGTTCAAGTAATAGCTGCTTTGCATTCAAAGGTAGGTGCCATAACATTGAGTATGTTATGTTGTCCCAGCCAGGGGACGAATTGTTTGAGTTCTTTAGCGCATATTCAAGTTCCGTGACAGTAATGGGATGACTGAAGATATTGTCAGTCAGGGTTTCAGGATTTTGACTACGGTGAATCTCTGGAAAGAATGATGTGGTCGAAGGAGGAGCGATTTTGTCTAGGAAATTTGCTTCCCAATCCAAATTATTGCATTTCCTATGAGTGACTTGCATTCTCTGCATTTTCTTAGCCTGAGACCAAAGCTCGGTGCTTGGGGTGTTTTTATTTAAGTTGCAACAGAATTTTTTCCAATGCGTTTTTGCTGGGTGGTTGGTAGTTGTGTTCTCGAGTCTTGCATGCGACACTGAACTCTTACTTTTGTAATTATGTAAGCTTACGAAATATCTCAAACACATTTTTTTGCATGCGAGTCCAACCCTGTAGCACACAAAACCTTTCCAGAAGGTTCACAAGGCTGCTTAGTGTCACTCAGCGCGACAGCCCTTACGCCTGTTTACATTATACATTCCAATACTTCTCTGGGTACTTGTTCCCAGGATAAACTTTGTTATACGGGCGTGGACGGTGATACAGTTCAATTATCGCGTGGATGAGATCGCTTCTCAGACCAAGTAGTGCGCTTTGTGAATTTCATCACAGTGTTGATGTGCTATTGGGTGTGGTGTTTTGGTTATCTGAAAGGTGAGCAATCACTGAGTGTTTCCTTTATTCTACTGTACTGCATGGATTGATAACCATAATACTTTTATATTCATGCTTATAAAGATGCTATACGTTTTACCTTCATAATTTAACTTATGGCTTACGACTTGTTATTGAATATCCGCAGGTGGGACGCCTCCAGGTTCTGGGGGTTGTTATGGGACTTTGCTGGGTTAAGGTAGTTATGTTACTCACTGCTCGGTTTCCTCTACCAGGGGAAACGTCGGAGAGCTTTGGATGTTGACACGGTGGCCTTTGGCCGAAGTGGCGTCCTTGGTCTGAATAACCGCTTAACTATCTTCTCTTGGCAATCGCTGGAGTCTGAATGTATCTCATGGCAGGATGTGTGAAGGGATTGTTACTTTAATGATAGTCGTATTGCTCGGTTACCTCTGATTGAGGAGTAACGTCGGAGATTTGGGGTATTGACACAACGGCCCTTGGCCAGCGTGATATCCCGGTTCCTGGACTGTCTTTTTGTAACAATCGTTAAACTCAGCATGTCTGACCATACACCTAGCGACCAAAGAGTTAGAGTGAGTCCGTGTGACGACTCCTATTAAGTCTGTGTGATGACTTAATGATCAGTCTGTGTGATGACGGTCAGGATCAGTCTGTGTGATGACGATCCCGTGATTCAGTCGATGACGAATCCGTAATAGTAGTTGGGGTACATTAATGTAATGGTAAATAGTAGATTTGTGCATGTCATGTCATGAGTCGGTTGAATACGGGAGATACTCATAAGTCTTTTTCTAAAAATAGGTGTTGGCCCCGACAATCCGATTATATCCCCCTTATCGCTTGCCAAAGGAGGATAACTCGTTGTCGTTTCGTCACCAAGTAAGTGACTTTAATATTACCCTGACATTGTTGCCCATATCGAATTGTTTACGTACTGCCCATGTAGTAAAAATGAAATGGTACGAGGCGGTACTTCGAAATCTTCGAAGATGAGATGTTTTCACGTTTATCGTTATATTGCTATTATCATATTATCAATTTCTTATCCTACAATTATTGTCATCGTTTTTCGCTGTACCACTGTGCTGCCACTTGTGTTAAGTTATTTGATTTAGAAACGGGTGTTGAGGAAATGTGGTCGACAACGCTGAAAAAATTTAGTAGTTTTAAGAAACTGATACTTCTACCATGTCATCGTTTTTTCAAACGGTAAAAAAGTCTCAGACGCGTCGTCCGTTATCGCATGAAATAATAAGCTATAAACTTTGCCCTTTACCTTTATTTTGCATTTACAAAAGGTGTCTCAGAAGTCACATAAAAACTTCTTAAGATATCAAGGTCAAAGTTCACAAAAACGGACTTTTGCAGATATGGCTTCCTATGGGCTTAATGCAATTTGCATGCATCATGAATATCATAGAGAATGAAATTCTCTACAACTTTTGTGTCGACCATATTTTCATACAATCAATCGTTTTTTAGAACGAGGGAGGGGAACGCGCAGCGCTTAGCTATTTACAGCATAATGCAAGCTCAACGGTTATTCCCGATGAATAATACGCCTTATTAAGTTTATAAATAATTAAAAAACATAAATTGTGCCTTTTTATAGCTTTGAGAAAGATCAGGAGACTGCAGGGAGGTTCTAATTGCGCCTATAAAGGTTGACTACTTAAACTTGAAAAAAAATTGTAGATCTAAAACGAAGAATTGTACCACCGTCAGAGTCATATATATTATAGAGTCCTCATAGAAGTACATATACAGGGTGTTTCACAACGACAAATTTTAACCACATATGCACTATTTCGAAAGAAGTTGATTTCTCAAAAAAATGTTATAAAAGTCCTACAGAAATTAAGTTACAAACCTGAGTTCCAATAACAAATTGAAAAATAAATATCTGTATTTTGCGTTCATCATCGAGATATCAGAACACGCATTAATAGTTTATTAGCGTACGGCGAAGCAGGGCAAAATTTGCGAGCTGCTTCTCGTTTGCATCCACACCGTTTTCCGAATAGGCACATATCACATCACGAAACAGTTGGTTCAATTGCTTTACGTGCACGTGCTAGTGGAGATTTGCGCCCTAGACGTGGAGTGGTTAGGAGTCAGGTTCACCCACAACTCGTTTTAAATGTCGAAGACAAAATTTTGGATATTGTGGATGAAAATCCGGGAGTAAGCACAAGGCAGTTAGCCCAACAAGTCCCAGAAATGTCACATGCAACAGCGTAGCGCAAATTACGTGACGCCCAACTGATGTACCCTTATTACGTCCAGAGAGTATTTATTTATAAGTAATCTGGTAAACTGTATTATTTTATTATCTCGATTTCTGTAGGACATTTAATACATAGTTTTTTTTTGAGAAATCAACTTCTTTCGTAACAGTGCATATGTGGCTAAAATTTTTCGGACATGTTGTGTAACACCCTGTATAGGGTATAGCTTTGCCAAAAGTCAGGGGACTACAAGGTAATTCGCTATAATGGCTGACTGCTCAAACCCGATAAAAAGTCGCAGATTCTGTTCGAAGAACTGTGCCAACAACAGAGCCCATAGTACCACATATCTAGGGTATATCTTTGCAAAAAATTAAGAGACTACAGGGTGATTCTGTGCCTGTAAGGTTTGATAACCTAAAATCGGAAAAAATTGCAGTATCGAAATAAAGGACTATGCCACCAACAGACTCATATCGTCGGTCTCCGCTCGTACAGGCGTAAATGACAAAAGCAATAAGTCAATATTTTTAGTGAGAAGGATGAACCTGATGCTTTAATAATAAATTATCAACATTTGGCGTCAATTTTGTAAGGGTTAATCTTAGATCTCCTCGGCTAATGATGTCCAGTCTGTTTCTGTTTTTCGTTAGGAGATTGGTAACAGCGCTGAACCCCCTTTCCACTAGGTATGACGATAGAAAGTAAATTAAAAATTTCCTCGCTATATTCCATAATACGGGATAAGTAACGGGTATGTTGTTTTGCAGCCAGAATTGCTGATATCCGTTTTTAAACTGAACCTTAAGTTCTTCGTTTGTACTTAGTTCAGTCAGTTCCTCTTGTATTATGACATTCGTTTCTTCTATGTCACCATATGGATTAACTATCCACGGTGGTATTACTATAGTCAAAATATCCTCAAACCTAGATTCAAAATCTAAATAATGTTGAACATAAGTTGAAACGTCGTCTTCCTGGCAGCTTGTCTGTGACAAATTGAGGAACTGAGAAAATTCGCCCCGTCTAATATTTTGCTTCATTAGTTTAACTCTGGCAAGAAACGCTGATGAGATGGACTTTGTTTTAATCAAATTTAAACTGTCGCTTTGTAATTTCAAATTAACCATATTAAATTTTGTAAACAAATCTGTTGAATAGCCGATGTCTGTTTTCCTCTTCACTAAATTTTCTTTTAAAATTTTATCTTTAGTATCCAGAAATTCTAAAATATTCTAAAAAAGTGCAAAAAATCTTGTGAAACATAAGCCTTTCGACAGCCAGCGTACTTCAGTGTGAAGCAGTAATTGATGAAAAACATGAAATATTGATTCACCTTTAGTGGTTATCAAAGTTCTTGTGAAGAGCAGTTCTTCGTAGATTTCTTGATTCATAATAAAACGAACGTATGCCAATAATAATGCTGCATTATCAGGTAAAGTTGACTCGTCCAGTTGTATAGAGAAATGGGTCGTTTGCAAATAATTACATAAGAAGCTTTCAATATCAGAACTCATTTCATCAATACGTCTTTCAACGGTATTGTTGCTTAAGGGAATTCTTTTAATGATATCAGTTGCAGGTTTGTATAAAACAGTTTTTAAAACCTCTTCAACGGCTGGCAAGATTAACTTCTCTCCGATAGTATGCGGTTTTCCGGATTTTGCTATAAGTAACGAGATATTGTAAGACGCCCGCAATCCGTCATCATTTCTTTGTGACGTAGAAGCGAACATTCTGTCCAGTGTAGGTCTCTTCTGAAATTTATCTTTGAGTGTTTGAAAGTATTTCAAATCTTTCTCTGTTTTATCACGGTGGCATCTTCTCAGATGATCTTGCAGTTTAGATGGTTTCATAGAGTCATTGCCCAAAACTTTGTTGCATAAAAGGCACATAGGCGATTGTTTGTCCGGCAATGATGGAATGAAGCCAAAGTTCAAATAATCAACACTGTACTGTCTACATTTCTTTTTAGATTCGGACATCTCATCAGTCATCTGTGGGCAAAATTAAATTATCTAAATAAGACAGAAAATCCAGCAGCTATATATTAAAAATATTTTTTGATTTTTCAGAAAACATTCCATAATTCGAACATCTTCTTGCAACAATCAGCTCGAATTACGGAGATTGCACTGTAATTATATTACCGATTGCTAAAACTTTCAAAAAGAAACTATTGAGGAGTACTCGTGTAATTTTGCATGATTGAATTTAACTACTAATAACTAAAGTCATGATTGGCGTAATTTATCTATCTTTGCTAACTACGAAAATAAAACTAAAATTTAATAAAAAATAATGTACTTACTTTTCTCCAGCACTCTCAAACAAAATAACACTAACTCACTATAATTTGTGTGATATACTGTCTGTTTATATTTTTTAAAATATTTTCTTAGCACTTTCCTTTTCAAGATTCAGGAAACGAATAAACGTATTTGTCCCACATTCGTATTTATAGAGTGACGAATTGAACAAGTCAGTGCAAGGTAGCGAAGCTCTGAGACTGCGACTCTCAGGTTTTTACAAGTTCAAAATGTATTGCGACCACAAAGCGAATACCAACATCCTACAACTTACACAATTTTACAAACATATATAATAAATTTTTTACTTCATAGGTACTTTTATAAATAATGTATATGTTTTGATATTATAAGATAGTTGATGTAAGTAAATAGGTAGTATCAGTGTATGTGTTGGGATCCACTATCGTGGACCCCCATATTCATTTCATGGACCCCCAAATTTTTTTTCGCTGACGTAGACCCCTTGCAGGTTGTCATAGACCCGTAGGGGTCGATATAGACCACTTTGGGAATCAATGGTTTAGACCTTTTAGAAGCGTCCGGGGTAAATCTGCTTCAGAGACCTCCTCGATCTCCAGACCTTGCCCTTACTGAACATGAATGGGACATGAAGGCAAGAAGGTAGGCAAATTTCACCGCACCCTCCACAAACATTCAAAGCTCTACGAAACCAAATTCAGATGGTCTGGGTTACAATACACCAAGAAGACATCACACACATGTCATTTAGTATATATGAATGCAACATTTTGTCCGTGTTGGGCAAACTGACATATTTCCGCTGCAAGATACAACGCATGTCGTGACATAACTGCAGGAATACAGGGCGTCGGGAAACAAGATACGGAGCCAGCGGGGGGAGATGGTACAAGCCAATCTGAGTCGATTTTACTACAGGAACTACTGTCCGAAAATTAGCCGTTTTCGAACATTTATAACATTAACGTCCTTTATATGTTAATAAAACTTAAAAATTGGGTATTTCACTTAATTTTTTTTGGCTTTACAATAAAAATATTCTAAAAAACGAAAATTGATCCTCAAATGTACATTATTGACGTTATCTCATGCAGTAAGCTTCAAAATAGTTGAATAAAAAAAAATGCTTCGTTCATCTCAAAAACTTTATTACTACTAACAGTAACCTACAAATTTCTCGTGCAATACAATTTTAAAATATCTACGTTTCATTACCTTTCAAATGAGGTATCAAAATCACAACTTGATTAAGAACTGGCAAAAATATTACAATCATAAAGGGAGGAAGGAAAAAGCAATAAAAATACTACAGTTACAAAATCATATCTTAATACAGGATAATTTGTTTGAAACTACAATTTTTCATTTTTATAATACATTTTCAATATGACCCCTCTATTTCTAATGCACATATGTGCTCTTCTTATGACAGCTGATTTTACTACCGCCGCATTCCTAAGAGAGGCTTGAATTTCTTGTGCTGCATGTATTATCCTGTTTCTGAGGTCTTCTATTGTGGGTACAGGATTTTGATCAGAGTATACTAAAGTTTTCATGCGACCTCACACATAGAAGTCCACAGGTGTGAGATCGGAACTGCGGCTGGCGATGGGATTGGTCCGCCTCTGCCGATCCATCGATTCGGAAACTGCTCATTTAACCAATTTCTAACACTTAGTCTGAAATTCTTAATCGATTTGTGACTTTGATACCTCATTAGAAAGGTAATGAAACGTAGATATTTTAAAATTGTTTTGCACGAAAAATTTTCAAGTTTTGTGACTTGGTTAACGTATAAATGACGTTCATTTTATAAAATCTTAAAAATTAGTATAATTCGAAAACGGTTAATTTTCAGTGGTCCTATAGTAAAATCGACTCAGATTGGCTTGTACTATCTCCCCCCACCGGCTGCGCATCTATTCTCCCGTCACCCTGTATAATGGCTGTCCTTTCTAGAAAACTTTGTTAGTCAAAATCTCTAAAGTACGGAGCAGAAAGTCTCCTATGCCCTCGTGACACAGCCTCATAGCCATACGAGGACAATGTCTGTAATACGGCATTACGTGGGACTGTGTGAGCTCGTGTAAAACATCTTGACTGGTTGGCTTCCATTCCCTAGAGGATGACATCGTAACTAAGAATTCTTACGCTGTGAATAGTCAATTAAGTACGAGTTAGCAAACCCTCCTATAGCATCATTGTACCATATCATAGCAAAATGGAACAACGTGCGTGATGCGACATTACGCGAGGCTGTGTGGGGGCATTTAAAATATCTCCATGCCTGGCTGGCTGTCCTCTCCTGGAGGATTCATTTGTAATCCACGGCAGCCCATAAATTCTGTATCCGTGACGCGGGATTAGCAATTTTCAATGAGCAATCCCCGGCAGGTTTCCACTGTGAATGCTATATTAAAACTGCACGTCGCATCGCCAGTTGGAACTTGTTCGATTTCAGGGTTTTTATTTATTTATAGGCGGTGGACTGTTCAATTAAAGTTGTAGTTTTTTAGGTATTGCGCATTCAGCCTGGAAAACGACGGTACGTGTACGACTATAGTATTTGAAACTTTAGTATAAAACGTCAATACCTTGAAGTTGTATAATGGTTACCGGACTTACGTTATCTTCAGAACTTACAGGAAGTTTGAAAAATTTGCTTTAAAAGCAAACCTTCAATATCCTTGTTCAATAAGAACAGCTACATAGCGGGTACTCAAATATTTAGAAATACTAGGTTTTGTTGTAAAACTGAGATAGTAAAGGTTAGTGAGCATGATACTCATTATTGACGTAGGTATTTTTCCGATATTTAGGTATTGCCTATTCAGGCGTGGAAAACGACGGTACGTGTACGACTATAGCATTTGAAACTTTAGTATAACACGTTAATACCTTGAAATTGTACGATGGTTAACAGACTTACGTTATCTTCAGAACTTACAGAAAGTTTGAAAAATTCCTTTTTAAATATAGACAGCTACACAGAGCTACACAGCGGGTATTCAAATGTTTAGAAATACTATAAGTATTGTTGTCAAACTGACATAGTATAGGTTAGTAAACTATGGTTTGAAATGATACGCTTTACTGACGTAGGAATTTGTTTGTTATCAGTATTTTGGGTATTGCGTATTCAGGCCTAGAAAACGATGGTACGTGTAGGACTATAGCATTTGAAACTTTAGTATAAAACGTTAGTACATTGAAGTTGTACGATGGATTACAGACCTAGCTGCATAATTTACACAATGTTTGAAAAATTTGCTTCAAAAGCAAACCTTCAATATCCTTGTTCAATAAGAACAGCTACATAGCGGGTACTCAAATATTTAGAAATACTAGGTTTTGTTGTCAAACTGAGATAGTAAAAGTAAGTGAACATGATACTCATTACTGATGTAGGTATTTTTCCGATATTTAGGTATTGCGTATTCAGGCCTGGAAAACGACGGTACGTGTACGACTATAGCATTTGAAACTTTAGTATAAAACGTTAGTACATTGAAGTTGTACCATGGATAACAGACCTATCTGCATAATTTACAGAATGTTTGAAAAATTTGCTTCAAAAGCAAATCTCCAATATCCTTGTTCAATAAGGAACGGCTACATAGCGGGTATTCAAATATTTAGAAATACCAAGTGTAGTTGCCAAACTGTCATAGTAAAAGTAAGTAAACTTTGCTTTGAAAACAAATCTCCAGTATCCTTTTAAAATGAAGACAGCTGCATAGCGGATATTCAAATGTTTAGAAGTATCGAGTGTTGTTGTCAAGCTGACATAGTAAAATTTAGTAAACTATGGTTTGAAATGATACGCATTACTGACCTAGGTATTTTTTAGTTATCAGTATTTTGGGTATTGCGTATTCAGGCATGGAAAACGACGATACGTGTACGACTATAGCATTTGAAACTTTAGTATAATGTAATGTTAGTACATTGAAGTTGTACTTTTCTGCATAATTTACAGAATGTTTGAAAAATTTTCTTTAAAAGCAAATCTCTAGTATCCTTGTTCAATAAAGACGGCTACATACGGGCAAATATTTAGAAAAACTTTATCTGGGAAGAGAAAGGCTGCTTTTCAGTGGGGCATTGTGGTCAATAATATCAACGTCGCGAGTTGGTAGTGGAAAAAAGCGATTTGTGGATACTTTCTCGATTATTGGAGTACTGAAGGAGGATAGTTACGTGGCGACCTCTACCTAATATTATTTATTTATCACATGTTTTCAAGTCTTTCCGAATATAAGGTTTCGTTGTCAAACTAGAGGAACGAAGCTAGTAGGATACGATTTTAAATGACATTTGTTTACCTATGCATTTTTTTACATTACCTATGGAGAGAAAAGCCACTTTCTAGTGGGATATTTCGGTCAACAATTGCATGCCTAGCTTAAGAAATAGCTCATTATCAGTCCATCACTTTCATAACGTGAGACGCGTTCTAATAAACAGAGTAACAAAAAAGGTAAATACCTACGTATGTTTATCCGATTTTAATAATTTTCAGCATATATGTTCAGTGTCCATTACTAGTAAATAAATTTTTAACT